AACCCACCCCCCCCCCCCCCCCCCCACCCCCTCCCCCCCCCCCCCCCCCCGCCCCCCCCCCCGGCCCCCCCCCCCCCCCCCCCCCCCCCCCCGGTCTTTCGGGTTTTTTTATTTATATCTGGGGATAGGTGTGGGATGCGTGGGAATAGTGTAAAGAGAGGAAGCGGCAGGGGGAATTGAGTGGGTGGGATGGTTTAGACATGTCGAACTTGTTTGGTGTATGTTCAAGCTTGAGGAGGTAGTATATCTCAACACAAGCTTTATACCAAGGCTGTAAAGTTTCAGTGCTTAGTCTGACTAGAATTATACGTGGTGATGCTGAGAACTGGTGTAAGTGTTGGTATCTTTGATGTGAGTAGCAAATTATAAATTATTCCGGCATACGTCTTGGGGGCCAAGAAGGGATCTCGGTCTAGCTGCAGCTCAACCGGGGAGCTTTTACCTAGGTAAGGCAAGGCCAAGACCAATGTCGGTGTCGAGAGCCTTACGGGAGCAGCAGGTAGTAGTACGTAAGGCCAAACACGTACAAACTTGACCATGATATGACGCCACGCCACCTTGCCCACGCATACATACATACATACATACCTTAGTAGATAAAGATAAAACCACCATCCCCCATGGGTAGTTAGCCCCGGAAACGACGGTCATACCGCTAGCCCCATGGCAGACCACAATCCGCCGGCAGCCGGGCACGGCTCTGATTGGAAGGAGAAGAGGAGAAGATGTGATGGGTTGATGGGTTGATGGAATGTATCCGTAGTAGGAACTGGAATCAGAGGAACGGGCGGGCCGGTCGAAGCAGGGTATAGAATAACCTGCATTACTGCATGTCTAGGTGTGCAGTGCAGTGCTTACACATACACCGAGCTTCAGAACCTGGTAATATAATCTACCCCCCCCTGGTAAAGAACGAGGACGGAACGGGAGGAAAGAAAAAAAAAATAAGCTCGCTGCATGGATGAGTTGGCGGTCAGAACTGTGAAACCGGCTTTGTTCCTCATTAGTTACATGTCTTCAAACATAGGGAAGGCGTTGGGAAAATAGTAGTTTTCGCGCAGAATGACTGATCACTCACATACGACCTTTTGTACCTGTTACCAAATAACCGAGGGCGGTGACACAGAATAAAAGGGGTATTTTTGTTCTGATACAGAATAATGATATCGGTCTTGCTTGGCTGCCTGCAGGGAACTGTCTGTATGTATCATATACCGTGGGGGCTGCTGTTCTTAAATCTACCTCATCTGAGACACCTACACCGCGAGTCGGGAACATATATAAGTCTTCACGTTGGTCCAAAGGTAATTTGAGTTGTAGTGGTCCTGATCTGGTCAACCTAATAAACGAGTCAAAAAGAAGACGATTCAATATTGCCAATAATCATTTCCGCTCTCGTTACTCTTAAACGAGTCTTCAGAAGAAGAATAAGGCAGATATGTCGAGAAGCGACCCTCCGTCTCCTCCCCCGGCACCACCGCCGAGTCCGAGCAGGACGTCGACATAGTTGATATGTATTCAGAATATCTTGGAGGTGAGATTCTTGCCCCTCATGGGAACCGCTTTTAGGCTAGACCGACTCATACTTGTGGTGCTGAAGCTAGTTTCGTATTTTAAACTTGGCTGAATAATACGTTCGAAGGGGGCGCTTGATATCGATAGACAAGGGAAAAGTCATGGCATCGATCTTACAGAAGCTGATGGAAGCTAGTGGAACCGTCGGGTCATATTTTAGACTGGCTGGGGCTCTCATAGAAAAGATCCTGCGAGGCAAAGAGCAAGCGGCGTTAAAAAAAAAACCTGGGTAGAAAAGCGTGTATCCTTTTGGTTTAAACCTGCTCCTTCAAATTTCCTCCTTTATAGCTTTGATTTGGGTTTCAATACGACGCTGCCATCTCTGATATCGAAGTCCTCCCCCCTTTTCCATCCGAACCAGGTTTTTAGGGCTTCTTCGCCCCCTTGGCCTGGGGTGAGATATTTGCCAATGTAGCTACCTCCAGAAATTCCGGGACCCTGGCCATGAATACTCGGATCCGTAGCTTTCTCGCTAATAGCTAGGCAAGGCGATTCGCGTAACGTCACCGCTGGGCGTTGATCACCCTCGCGATTAGCGTCCGTTTCTAGTTCAGAATACTCCAACACAGGAGTACAGCAAGCATCAGTGCCATCGAAGATCTTCTCCCATTCTGAGCGCGTTTTTGACTTGAATATTTTTTCAAACTGCCGTTTCATTTCCGGCCAAGACTCTCGGTCGGAATGTCGCTTCTCCCAGTTTTGGTTGCTTAAGCCTAGACCTTTGATGAAGGCAGCATAGAAATGCGGCTCTAAAGCTCCTACTGCCATATATTTCCCATCCTTCGTTTCGTATGTATCATAATATGGACATCCTCCATCCAGCACATTCTCGCCGCGTGGAAGACTGCCGAGTGGTAACTTGAGTGATTGTCGAGTGAAAGTCGTCAGATAGCTAGTGCCATCCACCATATTTGCCTCGACGACTTGCCCCATTCCTGTTTTCTCTCTGGCGATAATAGCGAGTAAAACACCTTGAAACAATGTAGCCCCTCCGCCAGCGAAGTCTGCTAGGATGTTTTGGGGTGGGTGCGGCTTCTCTCCACTTCGACCCAGTAGAGAAAGCACTCCAGCTACAGCAAGGTAGTTGATATCGTGGCCGGCCATCTGGGCATACTTGCCGTCGCGACGAAATCCCGTCAGACGACCGTAAATTAGGCGAGGATTTATGGCACACAAAACCTGCGGGCCAAGGCCGAGCTTTTCCAATACGCCTGGGCGGAACGGATCGATTATTACATCAGCCGTCTTAGCTAATTCTTTGATAAAGCCAACACCACCTGGCGACTTCAGATCGACAGCTATGGAAGATTTATGTCTTGTAAGCATATCGGGTGTCGGCACCACTTGAACACCAGTCGTATGACGGTCAATCCGAAGGACCTTGGCGCCAGCATCTGCTAGAAGTAAGCCAGCGAAAGGTCCTAATTACATATTAGCTCCACGGATTACTGATTACTTATAAGAGTACTACCTACCAGGTGCTAAACCGGCAAATTCAAGGACTTTAAGCCCCTGAAGTGGTGGTGGACTAACCATTCTTTTCGAGTGCTAAGTTGTTTAGTGTTAGATAAGAACGTTGAACTGTGATAGCATCTACTAGATAGGTTTTTAATCCTTGCAAAGTTGAGAAGCGTTTACATTCTTAGAGAATGATGGTAGGCATTAAGCCGCCAGGTGTTGGGCGAGAAGAAATCCGTTGATGGGCAGAAGACATTATCGGTCATAACAACATCTAAGAATGCGCGGAGAACCGAGGCATTGTGTGTAAGTCACAGTGTGACAAGACGTTTACTTGGCACCGTCACGTGTATCCTTAACTCTTAACTCTTAACTCTCAACTCTTCCCCGGTCCCTTCTTCTTGGTCGGGTTTTCAGAAACCAGACCAGCTTTAACAAACGCATCTCTGGCGGTTTGGTTAATCAGGGCAAACCGGCGAGGACCGAGTTTATGTCCCCCGTACCATCGGGTAACAATTACCATCACGTTCCAAAGGTCCATCAACTGCATAAGGTGCAAGACTCGGCTACCAGCGGCAGTCTCGCCGTCATCGTCACAGTCTTGAAATGTAGTGCCGTTCGGACCCTTTATTCGCCATGCTGTGATATTGTGCGTGGCAGTTCGGACTTTCTTGTCGGTAGAGAGAAGATGCTGGACAAATGCCTCAGCTTCCTCAGTTGACGAGACCTTGGCGCACCGGGCAACAAAAGTCGACTTCAACTCAACAAATGCATCTGACATAATCCAGGGAGGTTCTCGCACGCTGATCTGCTTGGAATCTGCTACGGATTTAGCGGAGAGTTGAGGATCTGCGTCATCTTCATTGGAAGTATCCTCGTGTTGGGGTTCGTCTGGAATCTCGGACTCGAGAAGCCGAGTTAGTTCCTCGATTGCATCGAAGAGGCAGACAGTCCCTGGTTGGTAAACCGTGCTCACTGCCTGGCAGAATAGAGATAATTCCCGGGCTGCATCGCCACGCTTTCCGTGCTCGCCAGTACTATTAGTACCTAGAACAACTGGAGGCACTGCGGGATAGGTAGGGGGGAACTCGATACGGAGAGAGGATGATCCTCCGGGTGGTGATAAAACATACACATTGGCTTCGCTCGACGGTGCCAAGCAATCTTGGCCATATATCGAATTGATGGCCTCAACCTCATCCTGAAGCTCTTCAGACATGGCGCGCCCTTCTTCGCCTGCAGGCTCATGAGAAATTCATAAAAATACAATAATAAAGAGCTAATTGTCTAACTATGAGCAAGCACTAAAGTTGGGTAGTGTAAACTTTCAAGAGCTTTACCCGCAATAGTACATAGGATGGGAAACTATTATGAGGCTGTGAGTGTATTAGTTGTATGAATGGGACTAGAAAGACTTGGGAGGATTACTTTTTGGGAAGAATGTGTGTCAATGAATTTAAGTAATATTATGTAACTAAGAAGTATGATTAGGATAACTAGTTAATAAGCATTATTCATCTTTTAAGTGCAGATGCCTTCCATTAAATACACCCTGCCGTGAAGGAAATACACCTCCTTATCATTGAAGGTATGCAAAGAACGGAGCATCTGATAAAGGAGCATGTTATTGCCTTATCCGTACTAAGGTATCCACCCATTAAGTCTCGAGGTCTCTAGAATCCAGAACCAAACCCCACGCCGTTTCGCCCCTCTAAATTCCCATGTCGTAAGCTCCGACTTCCGACCAACATCTTTTCTCGAAGCGCCGAACTCGATGCTGCCTCAAGCACACATACAACATAAATTTCTAGGTGTCAGCGCTATTAAGTTTAGCTACTGTTAATATATTCGGATTTGAAAGTTCGGATATCATTGATTATCGTATTCTCTCTATTTTCTTACCCTTACCTGTGAATCCATCCATCTTATTCGCCTTTCCGTTTGCAGCCTTCTTCCGCCGTCCCAATAAGTCGTGAAGGATGGCCTCTGCAGTAGAGCAGGCAACGGCCTACAAGAATGACGGTAACAAAGCTTTTGCGGCTCACGATTGGCCTAAAGCAATTGACCTCTATACTAAGGCTATCGAGCTGAACGATAAGGAGCCGACATATTTCACGAACAGGGCTCAAGTTTGTAGTACCCTATTCAAGCCTTAAACGCTCGCGTGACTGACCTTGCTTCCAATCCTAGGCACATATCAAGTCAGAGTCTTATGGTTATGCCATAGCTGATGCTACCAAAGCGATTGAAATTAACCCCAAGTTTGTAAAAGTATATTGCTATCCAAATCCTAGTTGGTCACTTCTCGTTAAGTGCTGACCCGGCTTAAAATAGGCCTATTTCCGCCGCGCCGTGGCCTCCGCTGCTATCCTAAAACCTAAGGATGCCGCGCGAGATTTCAAGAAATGCGTCGAGCTCGATCCAGCGAACAAGGATGCCAAGCTGAAGCTTGCCGAGTGCCAAAAGATCGTACGGCAGCTGAACTTCTATGCCGCCATCGACGTAGGAGACGAGCCCTCCGCGGCAGAGGGTCTCGATATTGCATCCATGGCCGTCGAACCAGACTACGATGGTGTAGAGCTCAAGGACGAGATGACCCAGGAGTTTATTGACGACATGATCGAGAGGTTCAAGAATGGAAAGAAGATACACAAGAAATATGTTTACCAAATCGTAATTGCGGTAAAGAATATCGTATACAACGAAGCCACCATGGTAGAGATGAAGATTCCAGACGACGTCAAGCTCACTGTGTGTGGTGATACACATGGTCAGTTAAAGAGTGCAAAGTGTGATGAACCAAAACTAATTTTTGCTATAGGACAATACTACGACCTGATGGAGCTCTTCAGGCTGAATGGTCGTCCGTCGGAAAAGCATTGGTACTTATTCAACGGAGATTTCGTAGATCGAGGTTCTTGGTCGACAGAAATCGCCCTATTATTATATGCCTATAAGTGGTTGCGTCCCAGCGGCATGTTCCTGAACAGGGGCAATCACGAAACCGACGATATGAATAAGGTTTACGGATTCGAAGGAGAGTGCAAAGCTAAGTACAATGAAAGGTATGTCGTGGGGGGGGGGGGGGGGGGGGGGGGGGGGGGGGGGGGGGGGGGGGGGGGGGGGGGGGGGGGGGGGGGGGGGGGGGGGGGGGT